AAAAACATGTTTTTGGAAAATTCTTACAATATTCTGGCCGGATCCGAAACAATTTAAGAGTTCCTAAGTAAGAGAACGAGGAAGGCACGGGGTCTAACCATGAGTGACGAACGCACGGACGCACTCTCAGTTACTTAAATACTGTAGGAATTGTTTTTAACATATCATTAGTGTGAACTAATGTCTTGTGCTTTAGATAGGCACATAATATAAATAAAAGGCCTTTGCGTCCGTATTATCATGAGACATACTAAAAGCAGATTGTAGTTACAATTCATTCATTAAATTATTGCTATTATTGCTTATTTACGGGCGCGCAGTTCGATCAATGTATGCTTTCGCCAACCATTTTGGGCAGCTCTAGGGTAACGACAGCGTGCTTTAGATAACCCGGTAAATTATTTTCCAAGAATTAGAATATAGATATTCTTCCATTTAAATGAGGTAATTGGAAGTATCATCTCGATTGTTATCTCTTCACCAAATGAAACTATTTGATGGAACAACGGGCATTCAATGAGCCAAAAATTCTTTGACATGCTATATTTTCTATCAATTAAACTTCGAAGTCTGGGTATGAGTGAGCCGTTTCACCAAGTATAAAGTTCTCAGCGTTGCTTTTAGTGAACTAATAATTCATACCCTCTTGTGCTTCATTCATTCAGAAAATTATTGACTTCGAGGGAAGAAATATCTCTTGAGGAGGAAAGATCTCTCATTTATAGGAGATCTTTCAGAAAGATTCAGAAAAATATCTTATTTCGATCGAAATGATTCTCTTTTAGCTTTTTTGATTGTGCAAAACACCAACTACGATCATCCTTCGACTTGTGGACCTTAAACAGATGAATTTAAGAAATATATAGATGAGCCAAACTCCTGATGATTAACAATCTTTGATGGTGCAAACACCATATTTTCTCTGCTGTAAATAGACACCAGAAATGTAAGACAAAGCATCAGGCGAAGTACGTACACATGAAAAAAGAGAAGGATACGAAACAGTGTAAGAAACAATCTGAAGATTAACTTAGAGAAATGAAACTATTTAACATTTGGAACAATTCCTTTCATAGATATTGTGTATAAGAAATTATAATATGATGACCATTAGATATGCCAGTTACAGAAGAGAAAAATCGTAAGATGGCGTAGAATTAATCGAATAGTAATTTGTGGTGCATATTGTGTTAAGCGATATTTGAAATGGTAAATATGTAATATTTATTGGAAAATAATTCCTCATTTCAAAATGATAGGAGTCTTGTAATTTTATTAGGAAAGTTGTAGGAATGTTGTATTTATATTAGGTAAGAATTTGTTTGTTATTTCAATGAGTTAAATTAAAATTACTGTTCTTTTGCATGTTATTTGTATTTAATGTTTCGTTTACCTCTGCGTTGTGGAAAGTCCGGTTTACTGAATTCAAGAAGAGTTCATATACAGTGAAAACTACGAAGTACCAAAGTGAAAATAGTGCATATTGTTATACATTAGGTGCTATACATTGGGTGTATATTGTTATATTGTTACCATTATACAAAATGTAAACTGCTGTTATGACTTCAAAAATTATTGATCTAATGAATCAAAACCTTTAACCTCCTGAGCAAATTGGCTGACGAAAAAGAGCTGAGAGTTGCAAAGAACTACTGATTATAGATAACATGTCCGCAAACGCCTGCATCTATCTATGGGATGGGTGGACTATAAAAAGGCATTTGACTGCCTCACGTGGCTTCAGCGCATCCTAGAGATTTATAAAATTAACCCAGATTTATTAAATTTCCCCTCCAAGGGTTATGTCAGAATGGAAGACGTCTATTCACGTGAAACAGGGCAGTTACTCATATCAGACCAGGGAAAGTAAGACCAAATCCATCTTTGGCACAAGATGAATACTTGCAGCGACATAATAATGTATCCAAAGTAATTCATCAGGCCTTTGCAAAGAAATATCAACTAGAAGAATAAGAGCAGCCGTATTGTAAGTGAAAGCCTGAGAAAGGTATGAGTAACAATCTAGCGCGAATAATGTGGGACAGAACATTATAACTGACAGGAATGTTGAAGCAAACAATAAGGACTGTTGCAATAGTAAGAATTGTTGAAGCAAACGGACCAGACATGACTTATTTGATAAAATAACCAGAACAGTCACAATTATTGATGTTTCAGTTCCTGCAGACGGCAATCTTGTGTGAACTGCCGCTGAGAAAAAACGAAAATACCAACAAAGCATAATACATACAAAGCTGTTGAGTAGAAGGATATGTACACATTGCAGAGTGGAGATAGTACCTATGATAGTATCGGTAAATTGTGTAGTTACGAAGGATTGTCAAAAGACTAGAAAAAGTAGGCCTACATGGAAAATCTCTCAGAACTACGTATAAGGCAGTTTTATTATGCACGCCAAACATAACCAGAAAGTTCTTTTTTCCTTGAATGAGGTGGATGAAGGTCTAGGGAAGCAAAGACTTCACCAAAACTATCATTAATGAAGGACTACTCAGAAGGTGTTTAGAACTCTGTGTGAGGAAGCTCTTCTTGGTAACAACTCCGTATTTTTCGTAGATAAGTTGTGTCTTGAGCAGGAATGCTCCAACATTTCTTGAGAAATAGAGGCGTAATGAGTAATAAATAATAATAATAATAATAAATTATTATTATTATTACTATTATTATTATTATTATTTATTTGCTTTAATCTCAGTTATACGCCAGGGTACAATTATGGAAACACTGAACAACACATCAAAGTAATAAGAATACAATTACTCGAAAATACAAAAAGACAATTACAAAAAACTTAAAACCAAAGAAAGAATTTAAAATATTTTCATTATACTAGTAATAACAATATTCACAGGTAATAAATCTTAGTAAAAAATTTAAATTTAATTCAACAACTTATA